ATTACCGTCCTCATGTGCCCCGGAAAGCTAAGTCTGTTGTCTAATTTGTTGACAGAAATGAGGAACACCTGAGCCCTTAGTTCTTTTTTCTTTCCCTGTCATGCGTTGCCACATAGGACTCATTAGTGTTGTCCCCATAAACATAATGTTGCAGAAGAACTGCCATTTTTAGGCACACACTTTCCCTAGATGCTAATGATGATTGGATTGAGTGCCTAAGTCATCAATGGGAGAGCTCCAGTGTCAGGTTTATTTCTTCGCGAAATAACGAAGGCTTTTTCCTAAGACCTCTTTAATCTTGTGTGTTCTATTTACTGTGTGGGTTAGTTTATAAGAAAATCTGGGCTCTCCAAGCATGGTGATGTGCAAAACTGTTATGCAGTCTCAAACATTTTTACCCTTGGGGAAGACCATGATGCAGAAATTAGTTCAGCAGTTTTTGCCAAATTTACCTTGCTGCCCATAATTTTCCAGGAAACACTGTGGACACTCTACTCCTCATGTGAAGAAGAATGCTTTGAGACACACAGATCACTCCATAGAGGGGGCAGCTGTGACCACCTCAGTTATGTCTGGGAGCATGAATTGTTTTTTCTAGTTTGCAAGGGATGCCAATACATATTAAGGGAATCTCTTGCCCAGATCTTGCAGAGGACCACGTGTCCTAATGTCTACAATTTCACGGGTGATGGTCACTAGTTTGAGGACCAGAAAAGTGATAGAAACCCTTTCACTGCAGAAACACTGACCTAATTGTTGTTGTGTTGGAAGCCAATTCCAGCATGTCAGCAGGGATGAATCACCTGGAAATGGCTGAGGGCATTTTCCCAAACCTGAAAAGAATGCATAAAATGATTGCTTGCTGCCAGACAGCTGAGGGCATTTCAGTCTACATGTTATTGCCTCCTGCTGGCCAAACACCTGAACAACTGAAGGCAATCCCTACAATCTGACAATGGATTCTGTATACCAAACCCTGGCTTCTTATGGGTATCTATTTTGCCTTTGGACAATTTGTGTTAATAAAAAGCAAGGGTTCCTGAGATAAGAGAGAACTTGGTTTCTTTAGCCAAGCTCCTCTGGCCCCCAAATGCCTTCCAAAATTATGTTGTGTCTCTGGAATCTTTCAAAATTTACACAGCGCCTTCTCCAGATTCCTGAACGCTTTTAGTAGCTGGATTAAAACCACCGGCATTGTTGGATCAGACTGCAGCCCATTAGATGAAATGGTCCTCATCTAACTGTGCATCCTGGAATTATTTTGAGGAAAAGACTACAAGAGCTGTGTGTACACCGATCTGAGGGACTCCAGGCATGTTTATTTTCTGTGGAGCCGTCATTGTCATTGATTATAATCAAGATGTTTTGTGGCTCCTGTAGCTTCTCAGATGTTCCCATCAGAGTACTGGCAGCAAAACAAAGATGGAGACAAAGGTTGTCTTTTGTCCAGGGATGTGGCTTTTGTGGGTTTTGGTGAAAGTTCTTCATTGTTTGTCACAGTTTCTGTCATTGATATGAGACTCTCGCCCAGAGGGCTTAAGGATGGGGATTGAATATAGAATTGACCCACCTGCCGAAACCGGTTTGGCTCAGTGGATAGAGCGTTGGCCTGCGGACTGAAGGGTCCCAGGTTCGATTCCGGTCAAGGGCATGTACCTGGGTTGCGGGCACATCTCCAGTGGGGGATGTGCAGGAGGCGGCTGATCGATGTTTCTCTCTCATCGATGTTTCTCTCTCATCGATGTTTCTGACTCTCTATCTCCTTTACTCTCTGTAAAAAATCAATAAAATATATTTAAAAAAAAAAAGAATTGACCAACCTGTTCTTCCAAAATAGGTGAACGTACACTTCTTTCATCTTGAACCATTTTTTAACAGCTGTAATGAGTAAATTACATGTGTTAAGTATAGTGTTTTATAAATCTTGACAGGTGGATGAAACTGAAACCATCCTTATAGTCATAATACTGACCATATCTGTAACTGTGTAGTTGCTTCTTGACCTCATTTAATCTGTCCCTGTTCTTCACAGGTTTCCTAGTAACCATGGATTTACATTCCATTTTACTAGAGAACTTTGCTTTTTAAACTAAGTATTTTTCTGCTTTAAGTTATGTTTCATAGCTACTTGGAGGTTTATTAAAGATATATTAGTAACTCATCTCTTTTTTTAATAGATATTCTTTTTGTTGTTGTTGTTAATCCTCACCTGAGAATATTTGTCCATTGATTTTTATGGTGAGCGGGAAAGACAGTGAGAAACATCGATGTGAGAGAAACACATCGATTGGTTGCCTCCTGCATCAGCCATGACCAAGGCCCTGGCTGGGAAGGAGTCTTCATCCAAGGTATGTGCTGCTCTATCCACTGAGCCAAACCGGTTTTGGCATATGGTAGATATTCCTATCTTTGAATATATCACCACTATGTCCATTTTAATAAATATTTGGTTATTTCTAATAAAGTTGGTACAAACATTTCTGTATAATTCTTTATATGGATATAAATATTAGTTGGACAGCCCTGAAGGCTCCCGGAGTGCAAGAGGGCACAGCTGGGGCTGAGGGGTCCCCACTGAGTGCATGAATTTCGTGCACACGGCCTCTAGTATAAAGATACTCTGTAATTTTGACATTTAACTCTATATTGAATCCCTGTGCTTATGCCCTCTGGGTGAGAGTCTCCTACAATTTTATTTAATATTATTTTTTGTAAGAATTTATGGTGAGCATTTTCTCAGAAGTCTTAAATGCTTTTTTTATATTAGAATAATATGTGTTAATATTTTTTCCTTTATAATAAATATTTTAATTAATTTTAAAAAATGTCACCTCCTGCAGAAAGTGCTTCTGGATCAGTCCGCAGGCCGACGCTCTATCCACTGAGCCAAACTGGTCAGGGCTGATTTTCTCTCTCTCTCTCTCTCTCTCTCTCTCTCTCTCTCTATCTATCTATCTCTCCGTCTCCTTTGAACTCCTGCCTCTCCCTACAGAGACATTCCCAGGCAGGCACTTCTCACACCTTGAAACCCTTAACTCTTAGAAGAAAGGAATACCCTTAGGGTTTGGGCCATGATACTGGCTGTGAAAGATTTCACACCTACTAGAAGCCATGCAGAGAGGAAGTTAATTTTACTTTCCAAGGGAGGAAAGGGCCAAGTATTTGGTAGTCACTACAGGGCAAGGAAGGAAGTGTGGCTCCTACTCTTTAGCAGTGTCTGTTGCTAAGGGACTAGGAATGGAGGGGCCTTGGGCTGAGCATAAGTTGAGTAGCTATGAGGGGCTGACTTTATTTATTTATTTTTTTAAAAAAATATATTTTTAAAATTTTTTTTTATTAAAGTATTACAAAGAGTATTACACATTTCTCCTCCCACCCCCCCCCCTTGACATTTCCCCTGCCTCTCCTACCCCCCAGTGTCTTGTGTCCATTGGTTATTTTTATATGCATGCATACAAGTCCTTCGGTTGATCTCTTATCCCCCTCCCTCCCCGCAACTATCCCTGCCCTTCCCGCTTCAGTTTGACAATCAGTTTGAGGCAGCTCTGCCTCTGTATCTATTATTTTTCATACGTTTATAA